TTCGGGGTCAGCGCTGATAATTGGATGAGTGGTCCTCAAGTTCATCGGCCACAGTCGATTGCTTGACATCAGTAATCGTAGGCGGGCTTGGCACAGAAATGAGGTACGTATACAGTTTGGATGCATAAGCGATTGATACTGGTTTGTGTGGGACTAGGCATTTAAACGTGGCTTGCTGTGGGTGGATTTCAGCAACTGTATCAACAATGCGCAAATTTAATCCAGCACCGCAAATTGAACAGCACCTTCCTTATAAATAGTCCTATAGAAGTAATTATGCAATAACCGGATGGCGAAGAGAATCCTTTATCAAGTGCTGTTTTGCAGTTGCGAGAGCTGTTAAAAAACAATAACAAATTACACGCGTGCATATGAGCACTAAAGCGCTAAAACAGCTTAGGTTGCAGAAGTCACGATCTGTAGTGAACAGCTCCGCAAAAAGTATTAGCTTGATTATGTCACTAGAGCAAAGGACGCCGGAAGTGCTATCGTTGTAATATTTCTTGATATCCTAAAAGTCTTTGGCCGTGCCCCACACAAATTATTGTCGCAGAAGTCTGTCTTATGGTACCATAAATTCGTTTCTAAAATGGTTGTCTTCCTACCTCAAGGGTAGAAAACAAGCAGTCAGACTGGTAACTTTACATCTGAAACCACTACAATACCTAGAGGCAAGATCCAAGGAAGCGTATTAGATCTGCTTTTATTCTTAATCTACTTTTAATAAATGTAAATTGGGTGTTGGCCGCCCGAAAATAAATAGTTTATTCTCGGCAGGGCAAGGCACACCTGTAAACGCATGATCAAGGCAATACAAACATGTATGATCGGTAATTGCTCCGAAGAATTACAGGTTAATGATCCCCTTGATGAAATTATATTCGGAAGTCATTCCTCCTTGCTAATGAGGTTAAAATTGCGTATTGTTCCGCCCCTAGACAAGGTAATCCTAATTTAGCCTGGATTCAGTCTGACTTGTTAGCATTAGAGCACTCGAGTAACTCCTGGAATTTGTACTTCGCCACTGACAAGTGCAATCTATTGCACTATGACTGTGACACTCCACAGAATATCCTAACGTTAAACAACACCCCCATTTCTAGTGTGTGCCGCAGTCCGAGACTTTGGGCTAAGATATTCCGCCTCATTTAATTTTTCGAGCGTCATATTCTTACAGGCTTTTGCCGGAAAAACCATCGCCTACATAAACCGAACGCTTATCTTGAGGGAGCACAGGCTTCTAGCCTTTAAAATGTGTGTTAGGCTCACGATTGAATACAGTACAACAATGCACGGAAAGCTGAGAAAAGTGGACATCATAGCACTGAAAAACATCAAACGATCATTCACAAAGATGTTTGAACATGCCTAACAATTCAATCAGTGAGATTGCACTCCACATCTCGACGCACTGATGATTCTGACTCGCATGGCGGTGAAACGTTTTCAAACAAAGTTCCCAGCTCGGCGAACAAATGAGCAACTAAATTATGAGTTACCGTGAGCGTTGCGAGGTTACAAAACTGCAGTTGCTATGGCTACGCAGATTCAAACTAAATATGTGCGTTCTCTACCGCTTACAATTCGGCTTAAGGTTTACGGCTCAGGCACAAATCGAGTTTCAGGCTCTCAAGTACTATGACATAAGGGCTAGCGAGCGCATACTGTATATTCAAAAGTCTCATATTAAGCTCGGCACGAATTTTTCTCAGTAAAATATGCGTTGATATGGAATATACTTCCATCGAATATCAGAAAATGTTCTTCCTATCTGCGATTCAAACGGATGATCAATGTTCACCTGATCGTTTACAATATATTATCAACACTTAGCTAAAAGATGAGAAAGGTCCTGGATATACTTAAAAGTTGCAATTTCCCTCAATTGTCTTAATATTATAATTTTATCTTCACATGGATGAACTTCTTATTATGTGATTCCAGCAGTCTAACAACTAGACACGGAGCCAACAGAAAACCATGAAGACCAGAGAATAAGGGAGAGTCATCGCGTCATAATCATCGTGGCATAGTAGTTGAAGGTGAGCAAAACACTTCAGGAAGAATGGAACATTTTTAGTTTGTTTTTCACACGCCGAATTTTCTCGTTTTAGTCATTTTCAATATTTGAAGTATTAAACATGAGAATCAATACAATACTGTACACAACTTTAGACTGATTCCGATTGCGGGCCATGTCTTTAAGAGTGTTATACCATTGGCACTCTTCATCTTTGGGTCCCCATCCTGGAAGACGTACGGATTCAACAGCGGCTAGACACGATGTCAGCGATTTCATGTGCTGCGGTCATGTAGAAGGATGACCACCATGCGATCGTCTCCAGCTAGGTCCTTGACGAGTGAAGAGAGCGCGACGCGGTGGACGCTCAGGTGCCGAGCCATGTCAACTGGCGCAACAAAACCAGTTTGTTGAAGGGAATACTCGCATTCCCCAAGATGCGACGTCGAACGTCATTACTATTAACTCGATGTTGCCACCAAACGCGAGTATGTATTTATGATCTATCTTATTCCTACCAATCTTGCAATCCCGTCTAACTAATACCGTCTTCTTCTCCTTTGGTGCACTGTTTCGGAGATGAACTACGTCTTTCAAGCTGAAATCTCCGCACGGTCGTCATTGTTCGCAATGATTTTCCACCAAACTGTGCTTGGTCTATTAGCAAAAGATTGTAAACAATATTATGCTTTTGATTCCTCATACCTTATACTTTTCCTTATCTCACTGTTGGCCACGAGTGGGCTGATGTCTTGAGGTGACGGATTGCAGCTTCCAAGACATAAAAAAGCTATACCAATGCAAAGCATATTGCCAATGACTCGTTGGCAAATAACAAAAAGTGCCATACGTGAATGATTCGCGTGACGGATAGGGCTGAGGCTTCAACACCCATAATTCATGCATAAAATAGCCATAATAAAAAATGAGATTTGTGAAGCAGGTGATAGCTTACATGGTATTTTGCCCCACCGGCACACAGACGGTTGGAGCATGGAAGTGCGGATAAAAACTATCGAGGGATTAACTCGCATGGAAGTAGATCCTCTTGGGACAGTTAGATGGCGTGGCCGTATGACTTTAATTGAAGTTTTGGCTATACGTGCATCTGTTAGTATTCCCTGTTTCTTGCCCTCTCTAATACTAGCAAACTGCCATTCACTTCAGAAACCAATTCGTGACCCGCTGTACAAAACATGAACAATCTATTATGTTATGTGATCCCGAGGTACAAACTGATCAGTTCCCTCAATTGGATTGTGCCTCGCAACGTCGAGGAATAAAACCTTTATTTATTTATTTAAATGTGCCCACTGAGCAAGAAACGTTAGTAGGATGCGAAAAGAATGTGTGATGATTGCGCTGAGTGTATGCGGAGCAGGAAAAACCATTAACAGAAAGAAGCGCAGGAGCTATGCGACGGTTTTAAATGGGTGAATTTCACACAAAATTTAATGGAGAGACATAGCGACAAGTGTTTCTGAATGCGCTACAGCCTACAGGTATCCAACACTTATACAAAGTAGACTTTGGAAGTACAATATTGCAATAATATAACGGTTGAAGATGAACGGTGAGATAGATCTTAACAAACTACATACTGTCGTGTTGCCCTCCGGGAAGCAAGAAGACTGGGCCGCGATCACGAAGTCGTTTACTAAGATTACGTTCGAATATTTATAGAGTATGTACAGTATTTACACCAGTCCGTTTCAATGGCTCATCCCTGTTATTTGCATTGTGTCGCTGGCTCCTTTTCCATTGGTTTATGCTTGCTCGCCACGTTCACTCTGTCTAAAATCACCTTGACTTTCTTAGTGGATGTACGATTGGCGGGATTGGGTCCGCGCGCTTCTTCCCTCGGTCCAATGCCACAAGCCTTGGATCAAGAGTGCACGAGTATGCGCTCCTTCGCCTGCTGGCACCTGATTGGTCACTTGCACGTTCAGTGAATGGTTGCAGACTGGACGCGATCACGGGTCAACTGTTTCCTGATTGGCTGACCAATCTGCTTCCGGCAACATGCTCACTCCCTATCGGTCTGGCCTGTGAGGTTCGATCGGCATTACTGCATTTTCAATCACCAACATTTCCAACCCCATCACACATGCCGCTTTAATAATAATAAGGAACAGTTAAGTGGTACAATCTATCGCAATATCAGAGAAGTACTAGCGCAAAATTGCCGTTAACTAACTTGGACTCCACGTGTTAGACCCATAGCTGGCGGCCCAGCCAATGATAACTGGTCACGACTCAGCAGCTGCGTCTAAAAAAATGTCAGCTGTAAGCCGTAACGGCGCTTCGCTGCCGCGCGACCACCACCAGTCGCGCGCGGGCGGAGTATACCGCGAGGACGCCCACCCCATACGCGGATTCGAACCGGTGACCTTATGGTTGCAAACCAAACGCGCAGACCACTCGGCCACCGGCAGACCAGCTGCGTCTACCGTCACCCTTAGTTATGATGCCCGGTTTTTTATGGCACACACTCATCAGTTTCCACAGGAAATAAGGTGGCTATTTCTCACAAATCTATACTCATTTCAGAGTATCATTTAAGATGTCAGTGTCACAATGGCGCGGGATGACTATCGAAGTCCGCGTCTCCTCTTTAGTAAAAACCAAAATGAAGGGGAAGAACAACAGCGTTATCTTCAAATTAAAGTACCAAAAACTAGATGTAAGATAACGAACATAGCACCCTATACTGTAATCACAACTGCATCATGGGAGACAACACTTTTCCGTATGGAAGTAGAAGACTACTCGACTTCCAGTAGACGGTGTGATACACCAAATCAATATGGATTGTAGTCACCGTCTTTCTTGTCCTCACATGGCTACCTCCGGGCGACACCCAACCAATTGTCATATCACTTCGAAGGCGGTAGATACTATCATGGTGATTGTTGACCAAATGTACTTATCCCGACCACGTGGAGAGCATCAGACAAAAACACGGGGGAATGGAACTCACTGTCGGAGGGTTTAAGTAGGTTTCCGCAATTTCCCTCTGCATTTCACCGCCCTTACCATTGTGAAACTGGGCGAAGTTAGCTAAAATGAAAGAAGCGAAACGAGCTTGCGAAGCACGATCGTCTGTGGGGAAGATCAGACACCAGTTGCCTGAATTGTGATACTCGAAGAACTCCAATGCCAGACGTCGGCGAATGGTGATCAGTTGCTGTTGCTGTAATAATAGACGAATAGAAAAGAAATATATGGGCAGGTAGACATTGTCACTGGTTTTACCCGCATTTGTACTCTTCAAATTCCAAAATCCAGACCAAGTTAAAACTGATGTACTCTCCACTGCCAAACCGTCACTCGACAGCTGACTGAACAGGCTTGGATACCCACTGCCACCGGATGAAAGGTATTGACATGGGGTTTTAAAAGCTTTGGTCCGCGAAACCGGCTTAATGCCGTCTTGACACACGCAGTGAATCTTCGAGGGACTTTGTGCTAATAGTTCGATTTAATTGTGATGATAATTTCCAATTTGGGCTTCTACAACTCCGGTGACATAGACGACTAAGATATAACTGGAATCCAGAAGAAACGGCGCGTCTCCCAATGTAACAACCAATAATGGTAGTCGGATGTACTGTAACTTTTGACAACGCTTACAACAGCCTCAGTGTTAGGCTACATATGCCTCGCTATGGCGAATGTGTTGAAAAGACTGCAGTCCTTGCTCACACACAGCTATCCAGACGTCATTCATATTCAACACAAAAGCAAGCTGCAGGTGGGAAAACACCTTAGCAATTGTGCCGCAATACAAAAGAAAAAAAGGTGAAAGTGGCACACCGGCTGAGTCACCAGTAACGGATGGACATCGTTCCGGAGAGCTAACAGCGGGCTATTGTGCCGCAAAAGATTATAGAATGCCTATTAAATGAGATCGTGGGTGGAGAGGGAGGCTAAGCGGAGGGGGAGAAACAAAGGAACTCAAAACACAAACGCCATTGAGGTCTGCTTCTAGCCATGTCAACAACGGTATCCAACCAAAGGTGTTCATCGTCCATCGGTCCCCAACCATGGAGCGGAGAGACTCCAAGCGAGACCAACTTCGAAGTAAGGGCCTTCATTCCAATTGCCCAAATCGTTGCTTGGCCACCTCACCCCCTCTTAGATCCGCACCCCCGGCGCACAAACAACGCACGTCGCGGGAGTCGGTGGGCTGGCATGCGTTACACGTGGTCCAGCCATCGGAGCCTGGAGCGTGAAATAATGGTGCTAAGCGGTTCGCTTCTTCTTCCTGCACCAAGGCGTGGAATAGGCTCATTGTTCACACGGTGTTCCCACCAGATGTGAGCCAAACTGCGAAGGCACCGATGATCGAACGTAACTAGCCTCTTTATGTTTGCTGATCTAAGGGGTGAGGTTTCACAACCGTACAGTAGGGCCGCATTATATAATCTACCCTTCAGGGAGAGGGTAATGTCGTGCCTGCGACATAGGTGAAGGTTAGCAAAAGCGCCTCGAGCTTTTGCCATACGGTTTGTGACCTCGTCTTCAATTCGAACGGCGTTGATACAACTACCTAGGTAGTTGAACATTTGAACGACTTCTAGCTGATCCTCACCAAGGGTCAGCGGAGGAGGTGATCCCTGCGAATCTTAGAGGAAGGCTTTGCATTTCGATGGTGCAAAGCAAAGCCCGAAGCGGCTGACAGCCAGTGCTAATCTGTCCAGCGCGGCTTGACACGTCTGGGAGCTGTCACAGATGAGGGCAATGTCGTCTGCATACTCCAAGTCGAGAAGTCGTTCTTCTAGGAGTAGCTTTACACCTTCCAAGTCATATGCTGTAAATGCAATCTCCATGACGTCGTCAGTAGTGAAGTTGAAAAGGAAAGGTGACAGCGGGCATCCTTGTCTCACACCGCTGGAGATATTGAAGGGCAGTGACAGCTTGCCGTAAGCACTCACTCTGGCCGAGCTACGCGTGTAAAGCGCTCACATAATATTTACATACTTCTCGGGTACACCTTTCCTTCACAGACAGTTCCAAAGGGCACGTCGATCAACCGAATCGATGGCACCTTTGATGTCAAGGAACACGACAATGGTGGGCCGCCAATATGTGTGACGGTGCTCCAACAACTTACGTAAGGTGAATATGTGGTCGATGGAGCCACGACCCCGACGAAACCCGGCTTGCTCCTCACGGATCTGGCTTTCACGGTCCCCAGTCAGTCTGTGAAGAATTATAGACGCAAGCAATTGGGAGGGGAAGGGGATCAGACTGATTCCTCTGTGGGTGCCGCATACCGAACGCGAGCCGCCTTTGAAGATGGGGACAATAACGGAGCGGCTAAAGTCGGTTGGGACAGCTTCCTGCTCCCAGTTTCACTAGTAATCTGTGTAAAGCATCAACAAGAGCAGCGCCCCCGAATTTGAAGAGGGCTGGATGAAGATCACTGGTTGCGCGGATTGATGCAACTTCAACGTCCGATTTCTGAGTGAGAGGGCGGATTTAAAGGGACAGCCCAGGGAGCAGGGCGATCACTGGCCAGTGATGGATCCAACAATTCTGGCCGATTAAATTGCTTTTCAAAATGCTCAGCCCAAAGCTCTAAACTTTTTGACAAATTGTGTATAGGCTGTCCACTCTCGTCACGTATAGTTTCACTAACAGCAGGTCTCGTGCTGCCCGTTTCCCGTATCAGACGGAATAACTTACGATGGTTTCCAAGGGCGGCAGCCACTTCCATCTCTGACGCATGATGAGACCACCATGATTCACGGTCTCTCTTCAAGCTAACACGGAGTTTTGCCAAGATGTCTTTGCGAGTCTCGTTGTGTTCGGTTCTATCAGGAATGTGCCGGTCAGCATCGATAAGTTCCAGAGACTGCGAACAGACCCAATGTCTAAGTTGGCCAGTGGATTTACCGCATGATGATTTACCTGTTTTAGTACGGTCTGGTGAACATGCGACCAGTGACCTTCAACTGCATTCAGTGGGCGCTTGCTCAACCCAAGGTAAACATACATCCGTATGCATTCAGAACACCTGGCTTCGTCAGTTGGCTGGCGTCGAGGGCGACCGCCAAAACGTACCCGCAGATCAGCACATACAAATGCATGCTCAGTGTCCACACATGTGCTCCAAATCGAGTGAAAGTTTTGGACGCAGTCTCGCTAGCGATAACTGATCGCGATGTGACCGAGTTGCGTCCATAGCTAGTGGGCGCCATGTCACCTTCCGACGGGTGCAGTGTGGAAAGTTAGCGCTCGCAAGAGATAAGCGAGCATCTTCACAAAATGAAGTAACCGCTCACCGTTATCATTACGGGAGCCTACACTATGTTGGCCGCACAGATGCAGCTCATCATTGGACAATTGTCCAACTTGAGCATTCAGATCCCCAGCAAATACTACAGTGTCCGTGTTTCTTCTGTGGAGAAGGAGCTCGTTCAGTTGACGATAGAAGTCGTCGTTCACAAATCAGCGCTACCGTTTGTGCGGGCATAGGCAGCGATGATAAATAGACATCTCTTGGCTTCGCGCGACTTCGAAGCTTTGAACGAACCAGCCAGTCGGACCGCACACATCCGGCTACTGATTGGGATGCAATCAACCAGAGCAGCTTCAGCTCGGAGACTCATGCAATACCAACAACGGCTTGACCAGTGCTCGAAGCTGCATCGTCTCCGGATAGGCGCAATGAGAAAGCACTGCTAATGTCACCTGAAAGGGATCGCAAACTGAGAACAGAGCTCGAATCTTGTAGGCGGGTTTCCGATAGGCAGCAGATATCGATCAAGAGGGTCACTAATGTTCGGGCAAGTGCTGTCTGTTGATCGATCTGTAACATTGTGCATACGTTGCGGTATGCTAATCTGAGGGGGAATCGGGGGCTCCAAATAGAGGCTGATGTACTGGGTTTGACTGCTTGGTTAGACATGGGTTTGTCGACAGGGCAAGAGTGGCGCCGCGCTTTTGCATTTGAGTTGAAACTAGAAGATGAACGTCTATCAAAGCAAGGTGTAGGAAGGCCAATAATTGGGGATGAAAACAGGGGGATAAAAGTGGGATTGGAACGGGATGACGAGGCTGAAAAAAGTAAGGGGGAATAAGAAGACGTGAGGCTTGAGCAGTAGCATCCAAACCCCTATCCACCCTGCTCGATGCAGCAGATAAGGCACCGTTGATTATCCTCTGCGGTGGCCAGAGCATCACGAAATTGGTTGAAAAAAGATGCGTGCTATCCAGACGTGAACAACATTCGCCCGGCGGCACTAAACGCTGCTTCAATGAACATCGCAAAACCGTTGGTTAGATGTTCTCAGTGATGTTATGATTAAACGCAGGTTCTTACAATGTGCAAACAGATGACTGTAACTCCCATTTATAAAAGTGGTAGTTTTGTGAAACCTTCGAACTACCGTCCAAGAACTTTGCTTCCAATGCTATCCAAAAATTATGCAAGGTATTATCGCAAAAGCGTTCATGGTCCATTCTGATGGGAACAACATCACAGTGTCACAGAAACGGATTCCGCCGAAATAGGGTTGGCACTACCACCTTGTCGTTAGCCTGAGCAAGCTGGAGAGTATCCTCCGATGTATGGATAGAAAATGAGGTCGTCCACCTAGCCTACTAAAGAACGTTCGATTGTTTACACCACTGCACTGCCTTGCACAAGCTTCGAAGCTCCGTCCTGAGTTTGATAAGCAACATTCTCCATCAGCGTTAGTTGAATGCGAGAGTCGTAGCGCATTTTTCGATCAAATTTATGTTCACTGTGACGTACCCGAAGACTATGTCTATTCCTAGTCTTAATAGTGTATTCCCCTCGATCTCTCTACTAGTAAAGAGCGAGCTTAAGCTCTGGCAGGATGCTAAGACGTTGGACGATCACACAGCATTGTAGAGCGCTCTCAACAAGCCCAATATGTGGTCATCCAGAAACCTGCTTCAGTTTAACGTGGCCAGGTGTAGATTTTGAGCATGCGCCATCAGCGTCATCATGAATATCGACCTTGGAAACGGCAGTTACAACCTGTTACACAGGAAGGTGATTTCGGAGTGACTGTGCAGGATAACCTTGGTTGTTCGACATCGACCGAGAAACCGACAAGAAATTAGTCAGAACCTAGGACAAGTATGGAGGGCGTCTGGAAAATTTCAGCCTTCTATCTTCTGAAAATGCTGGATGCCTACGTGAAGTCCCACGTGGAATATGACATGCAAGTGCGGCCTCCCTGGCGAAAACACGACGCGGACCCGTTCGAAGCTTAACAACGTACGGTTACCAATTTCGTTAGGGGGCCTGTTCCACCTTCCTTACCAACTCAGACTGAAACCCTTGGATTGTGCAACGTGAAGTCACAAGCGCATACTGGCCACGAATTAAAGTAGGCTTAATTACCGATAAGCGTTTTCTCCCATCGGATGTCCCAAGCATTGAACGCCCCTTCCAACTCATATCATTTTTGACCCAACACTAACGCTCTTTAAAAGCGCCTTGAAAGGAAGGTTTCCCATTTGAAGTACACAACCTCGTCTGTTTCAATCTGATAAACTAACGGCAATCAACCGGTGTAATCATCAGCACTGTCCGTAATCTAAGCAGTGCAGAAACCTGCAGCTGTGTTCATGTGAATCGCTTGGTGAGTTCATTAAAATCCGAAGTATTACTTGTTTTACTTTTTATATGCAATAACCGCTCCAGTCTTCGTAAGGGATTGCTCTTTTACCCTCATTGTTCACCGACCATTAGGATATCGCGTCCTCAAATGAAAGTCACATCTGCGAGATATAGTTTGTTGACGCGGAATTGCGCAAATTAGCGTCGCTGAGACCTGTTAAGTAAGTGAAACAAATACTGTCCACGTGCTTTCGGTTCTAGGCTATTATTCCGCAAAGCAACTGATGTGCGACTCTATTTCATCTCCATTTCGTCACCAGCAGCGTACTGGAACCTAGATGGCAACTGACACCAGCGAGAGTAAGCGAAATGCGACATGGAAAAAGATGAAATGAGGTCTAGGTTATGAGTTTGGGTGAAAATCGTACGGTGTACGTTGTTACGCTAGTATATGTCCGCATTCGGAATATAAAGCGGAAAGGCAGAATTCACAACACTCACTAGTCTCTCGATACCTCGGCCAAAGGTGCGACCACAAGCTGACGAAACGTATGGGTCTAAATTGCTCGATGATCTCTTCGCGTCCAGCTTACTGCAGTGACCGAACTGCAGCGTGCCAACTGTGCGCCCATGATCGTACGCGCTGGGAGTGGGATGAAATGCCAAGGGGGTGTTGGAGCGATACAGGCGCAGAGCGGAGTGAAGACGTTGTTCTTTCTCAACATTCGTCTTATCTGAAGGCCTGCAACAAGATATAGCTTATAAGAATAGATTCAAAGTTATGGAAGATAACTGCAACGAAAGCGCACAAATAGTCGACGAACGAATGCAGACAAGGAGCATCAGATGTGCAGCACCAAAGCTGGAATAACGCTTCGAACTTGCTTCCGTATTAACAGCAACGTCCGGAACACTCGTTAAAGATACGCAGTCAACCATATAGCCAGATGAATGCAAACTTCCTTAAGTCTTGTGCTCGGCATTGCGTCGCTATTTTTCGTTGGACAATTTATCTGCCTCTCACAACAAGTGAGTCCGGGTCTCCAGTACTACAGACTGGGTGTAAACTAGATGAAAGTTACATAAGGTCACATTCAGTGCTGTAAAATCGACCAAACTGATAGGCACAGTAGTTGATATGAGGCCGATACCTCGATATTTCAAAGTAAAGCTAAAATGGTAGAAATACCCGTACCCTTTTTCCTCAAACACTTGTCTGATGCGCGGCTGGCTTATCAAACAACCTCCTCGTGGTACCAGCTGGGTGGTTCGGGTATACCCCGTTCTTGAGATTCGTTCGGCGGCAGTGTTCCAGGAAGTGGTGGCTTTTCCTGGCAAGCGATCTCGGTATAAAAAGCCACATCTATCAGTTTAACAACACTGTGAAGTGGCGGATGTGAATCACCACTAAATAAAGTCACTGGCGGAGCATTGTATCCTAGTAATCCGATGCTGAAACTGTGAAGAGGATTGGGGCAGGGTTTGGTAAGCGTCCGAATGAAAGGCGTATGAATTGAGTAATCGGTCACCGGCTCCCAATGGGCGCGATTCCCTGAAGTCGCTCCGGTGCTATGCGAGTAGGCTATTCAGCCAAAAGTTAGGGGTGGTATCCCCTAAGACAACTCCCTACCTAGGCTTGGGCAACCGGGTAGTATCTCTCTCGCTGAGATAGCCACGGATCACGCAACTACTACTAATATGCCATTCTCTTACGCTCCAACGCTCCTCACCGCTTACACATCTTCATCAAACACCAATTCTAGCTTCGTTAATACTTCCTTTGAATCTACCGCTGATGACAATCTCGTGAAAATCTAAAGAGTCCGACCATCGACCCTTCTTCGACCTCGATCTCCACTTCGGCTGGCGTCCTTCAAAGTTAGAACTTTTATGTGGATTGGACAAAAAGCCGACCTAGTGCTCATCCCGGAGTCTCTCGCTATTGATGTCTGGTGTCTTTCTGAGACTCGGTTAATGCACTCCAGCACCGTAGTTAAGCTGACTTTCCTGCTGATCTCGGGATCAAATATTCCCTGCATTTGTCTGGTGACACGGACGCTGGTACAGCTGGTGTTGGCACCGCACTGAGTGACAAAACTAAGGCCTCATTATTCGAATGGTTCCCGATTGACGGTCGATTGTGTGTAGTTCTACTTCAAGGCTCGTGCAAGATCAATAGGCATCGTACAAAAAGACGCAAATTGTTCGTGGCTTCAGTCGATGCTCCAATCAGGTGGAATTGCGCATCGGTTGAGGACTACGTTTATCGCGGACACCACGTTTTTGAGGAGACGCGCCGCCACTAGGCGTCGCCGTTCGCCAACACAAGCGTGATCACAAATTGATCACCTAGCTTCAGACGGCAGGACAGCGTACGGGATTGCAGATCAATTTGATCCACCTACCACAACTCAGATCACGCTCTGATCTGTGCGGACACCTATATGCGCTTTGATGGTTCCTCGAAACCAAAGCATCGTAAGCAGGATATCAACAAGTTAGCTAACCCCTAAATTCAACTGGCCTATTAATCCTCCATAGCGGATGTGCTCGCTCGTGCTCCACTTACAGATGTCGAAAATCACTGGAATTTCTTGCAGGTGTTGCATTCTTCCGATCAATAATAAAGTGGAATCATTTGGCGTCATCTGAGAGACTGTAACCCTGCTCGCTCTTTGGAAATGTTTGACCGTCGTCGAGCTATCACAGCTGATTCCAGTTGTAATGAAGTCCGCTGGAACTTCAGCCAACAAATTAGGCAAAGCCAGAGTACCCATTGCAAAACTTGGTGGTCTCAGCGCGCTTCGGAGATGGAGACAGCATCTCTCTCTGGAAATTTTTGTAAGCTTTCCAGATCATTCGGAACACTGGACATAAAAGACCTGGAGTCAGTGAAGCTATTTGCGAGGTTGATGGACTACCAATTACTAATTTGCGTAGGCACATGGGCCGCTGAGCTGAGCACTTCCACTTTCAATTCAGTAGGCCTACTCCTCCTGGTTGTTTAACAAGTATGCCTAGTTGCCTGCCTTGGAACTTTACACTAGAACCATTGACCGAAGCGGAGGTCTGTCTTGAGCTTCGTCACTTGCAACGATTCAAGACTGCTGGCTCAGACGGAGTTCTTTCGGAGCTGTTCAAGAATGGTGGCGAGTAACTGTCAACCAGCTAACCGCTCTGTTCCCCAAGATCTAGTGTAAAGAAAAAGTCAAATCCTCTTGGAGTGGGTAGATTAACGTACCCATCTTCAAAAGGGGTACTCGTACCTCATGCGTAAAGCACAGAATAATCAGCCTACCATCCATCGCCTCTAAGTTGCTAACACCCATTATATTGCGCAGGCTAAGACCGATTTGAGAACTAGGATGCTGTAAGGGACAGACTGGTTTCCGCCCCCGGTCGAGGGTGTGTGAACCACATGTCTACGCTCCGCCAACTCGTCGAGCAGCGCCGCCTTTATCGACAGCCTATCATTGTCGTCTTTTGGACATCCGACCTGCGTCCGACTCCGTCAATCAGCCTGCCTTATGGCGTTGTATGCAAATGAATAAGGTACGCGAAAAATATACCACCATACTTCGAGCTTTAAACAACAATGTATCTGTCAGAGTGAGGGCTTACGTTAAGCTCTTTTCACTTTGTTTTGTCACCAGCGATGTGTGACAGGGATGCTCCATGTCCCCGGTTCTCTTCAGTATTGCGATTTATGGCAAACAGAAGATAAACAAAATTGAAGCAAGAAGGAAGTGCAGTAAATTAATCTGAATGGAACGAAAATTAACAACCAGATGCAAGAAACCGAATGCAGGGACGCCACCGACTGCGTGACTACGCCATGTCTGATATGGTCTCCAACCACTGGTGTGGACCATCCAGAGGCCCCCATCCACGAAGACCGCACGCAACAGTCTGACCAAGTCTCTTAATCAATTTCCGCATGCCTTTACACCACGTCATGGGCTGGCCACCTCGCGATTTTGCCCAATTTGGTGCATTCCAAAGAAGTCGGTCAACAGACATACGGAGGACAAGACTTAGGCAACATAAGCGGTTAAGATTTAGCAAACACTCGAGTGAGGAACCAGAAGGCTTCCTGCTAAAAACCAACTGGCGGAGCACAGCATTGCTCCCCCGGTGTTCCCATCAGACATGAGCAATACACTGCGTGAGCGCGGCGTTTTGGTGTACTCACAACTGAACACTTTAACTTAGCGCCTTCAATAACTAAAGCGAGAAGAGTAATGCGTTTTCAAACGCGCTAGTTTAGATACCTATTATAAGTAAAGGTGATAAAATTTGGGGTCAATATGCAGGAAACTTAGAAACGTCAACAAGGCTGTAACTTTAAATAAGCCCATTAAGGACTGGTGATATCACTCAGGCAATTAGACTAGTGACAAAACTGCGGACCAATATACATGGCATAGGAACACGTAAAGAATGTGATAAAGTCACCCTGAGTGGTCCAATACCATCAAGGCCACCAAATTTTACATCAAATAAAAATTCAATTACGTAGAAGAGTTTTAGTAAAAGTTCGCTCTGTTTATTGGGTTCAAATCACGAAGATACTGTTCGGCATTGTATGATCGTCGTTCTGGAAACCGGGATCGTTTACTCTGGTGATGACAGTACACCATTTTGATTTTTGTTTATCTAATTGTGAAATTTTCCATTTGTGATTATGCCATTTTAGTAAGTCCACTGATGATGAGGTAAAATGCTGCAAATAATGCCTCTCTTGACTTAGCTTGATTAGACTTCCCGGAACGGAACGTTTTTGTCCAACCTGTAATCAAGTCAAAGTAAGCTTTATCCACTCGTATGGGTGCATTTACAGCATTTTTCACATCAACACTGCGGATTATTACACAACAAAGCATCACTGAGAAAGAAAAATTAAAAGCAGTAAACTAATATTGACATCTTCATTCAAGTATACGATGGCGAAAGCGGAGTTCCACTCCTGTTGGGTCGATTAGTAAGCGTGATAGAAAAGGCGGTATAGAGTTTCGATAGGACGAGGTACGAGAAGGTAAAACTTCAAATTTTGTCCGTGTGGACGAAGTAGATATAGTGCTGGCTAGGATATCGTGTAAAGGGTGTCAAGTCAAGTTAAGAAAAGCTTTATGCACCCAGATGGATGCATTTACAGTATTTTACACTATCTACCACAAGGGTGATATAAACATAATCAGTAAAGAAGAGAATTTTTACAATTTTAAACACAGAATGGGTAAAGCGTGCACAGATATCACTTAAGTAAACAGTCCCGAATCTTTGGGAAACGACCGCACATTGATTGAACGGATTCTAAGATCCTTCTTCCATTTGACGAGGCCAACCTTTGTTAAAACGTTTACTGATAGCTCGTTTCAACTGGATAAAAGTAGCAAACCGCGAATTTCGTGCGGTGTCTCGGATACTTTTTCAAAGAATTGGTGAAGCTGCGCGACCTCAGTGACCTTGAAATTGTCCAGTCAAAGAATTCGTCGGAAGATTCAAATAAAATTGATACCTTTTCAGTAAATAGTGCAAAAAAGATGTTTTGGAGGAGAGCGGCAATGGCCAATTTAAAGGCGCCGCCTTCTTAAGTGTGAGGGGTCAGTTAAAATCTTGGATGCAAAGTTGATGCATGCATCGAAGTATTTGTTAAAAATGAAATCTATAAGCATTCCTTTGCCTAAACCGGAGCAACGGGAAGCAAATTTTAGCGAACGCACAAGAGGAACATAATCCTGTTGAAAAAGTCTTGGGAAAATAACCGGGGAACGGTATAACCAGTGAGGGAGAATACATGCAGTCACAAGCCGTAGAATTAAAGTACGGGGAACGGAAATCATTTTAAGTCTAAGCAAGTAAAATGCGAGCCTTCTAGCTTTTTTAATGTTTCAAACACTTGTTGACTAAGATAAATTGTGAGATAGAAAAACTCCTGGATATTTTACGGTAGATGTGCGAGGTATGCTTTCGTCATCATAGGAGAAGAGATTTGTACAAGGAACTGCTGTCTGTTGGGACGCAGAAAACAGAACGTCACGTCACAACACTTGGAAGGGTTGAGAGAGGGGTCCGGGAGCTGAACCAATTCACTAGTTCATCTAACCCCGTCGAAGTTTAAAGGAGTCCTCGATGATTGGGGCTATGCATCCCAGGACATACTGCATACCTACAGCCTATGAAGTTTGATGGGATAGGGAGGTTTTCAACGTAGGCTGTGAATAGAAAGCGGGACAGGATGGTTCCCTGCAAAACACCACAATTAACCGGGATTACAGAATACCGTTTGCGTGAAGTGGGTGCGATTTGTGAAGTAATCACGCATCACATTACACACATATGGAGGGACGCCATTCTCAAACAAACTGTTGAGCAGTAGTGATCTATCAATGCTACCAAAAGCGTTGGTGTAATCAAGAAATAGGAGCCGTACGATCTTGTATTTGTTGTCCAACGCTAACACAACGGAATGCACCAAATAAGAAACCGCGTCCAGTGTAGAGCGCTCTGGTTTATAAACAAACTGTTTGACAGCATCAATATGATTGCCTGTGAAAATGCAAGGGATAAGCAGCTTTCCAGTAGCTTTAGCAGCGCTGTGGTGCACGCAACTGGCCGACATTACCGGTATCTTTTTTGGCACTGGTGTTATTCTGGCTGATTTCCAAATGTCGGGAATGGAACCCGTCGTTAAGCACCGATTCAAGACTTCTGTCACTGGTGCTGTTAAAACGTCTGCGCATTGTTTCAGAGCGACTGTTGATAGTGTATGCGGTCCACTAGTCTTGATGGGCTTCAGGCTTTTGAGCTCCTCGTAAATGCTTGCAGAAGCAAATAAAATGGGACTCTCAGTAGTGGTGAAAGAAGGCAGGGGGCGTGGGTTGGGTGGTGAGGAACTAAACTCAGCGCTGAGTTCAGCTACATCCTCGTTGGTGAGTGTTATGAAAGAATTCTTTCCGGAGAGTCGTCCTAGTAGCCTCCACAGGTCATGGCAACTGTGGTTGACTAAAACGGTATGAATGTAAAGAGCTTTAATCTTTTTATTTCTGCTCTTATAGCTATAGACAGATGTTAACACGAGCAGTTAGCCTATGTTTATAAGCCTGTTCTTTTTTCCTCCTCAGTTGCTAGATCAACGGAGATAAAAATCTGTCATTTCGCAAATAAATGGTCTCACTGGGACAACACAGATTCAAACAGAAGTTTATGTAGTCTGTGAGCTGCTCGCCTTGATCTGACAAGGCATCATTTTCGAAAATTGAAAAATCAGTTAAAGACAGTGTTGATTTGGTTTTTCGAAATCTGCTCATAAGTTTCGTCGTTTAACAGTTCTGGATGGTCTTTTGGTCAGCGCAACGTAGTTGGCTTTACTGTATAGCTTGGGGCATAGTTTTACTATGCAATGGTCTGAATTGCCAAGAGGTGCACGTTTTTGTGTAAAAAAATTGTTCGAGTTCGTTATTAAAAACTAAATTTAAATACGCCTCGAGTCTGGTAGGGAAATTCACCAAATTGGCAAAAGCTATGGTGTTACTGAAAGTTGTGCCACTTCTATTGAAGTCTCCAACGAGAACAGATGGAATATTCTAATTTTTGTTGCAACTCCAAGATAAGGTGGTCTGCAAACTCTTGCAGCTTTGTGTCCGGAGCTACGTGTACGTTCACAACTACGAGAGCTAGAAAACCGCTCAGAAACTCTGGTTTACGCTCTATTAGGTGACAGCTTACTAAAGTTGTTGAGTAGTCCAATAGTTTTAAAACGGATTTACATCAATCTTTGTTAATTTAAGTGATGATGCCTCCTCCACGATGTTTGGGGTCTCCTGGGCGATCGGTTCTAATGTGTTGGTAACCACTGAGATTAAGGATTTCATCGTCAATGTCAGAATGCAACTAAGTTTCCTGTAACAGCACTACACCTGCATTTGTGAATTCCCTTCACTGTAAAAGATTTGCTAGATCATCAAGTTTCCTTAGAAGCAAGCGTACATTGCTGGACATCACCAGAGGAAGTTGCGCCTTTTTAACGGGACAGTGCTTGAGTCTTATTTGCCAGCCAGCAAGATACTTTTTCGTTTTTTCTAAGCCTTTCTTGATAATTCTGCTGAAAGTGTTTCTAGTCTTGTGTTCGAATTCAACAAGAGGCGCTTTTCGTACTTTGTCTCGAAGGAAAATTGTCTTCAACCGAATATGATAATATTGGTAACGATGGGACTGATTCAGTTAAACAAAGAGTAAAATAAATCCTGTAAACACAATAGATCCGCAATGAATGGTTCGATGTGATATTTCGATGGTAACAGCAACGGCCGAATTCAAAGGCCCCACTTACCATGACATGTGCAGGCATGTCTCATAGGCAATGTTGGCAAGAGAATTATGCGCCAGCCATTCCGCCGCTGTGACCCGTTTTCTCGACACCTCAGTCGTCAAAGGTAGTACAAACGCAAGATTATTCTAACATATTGACTAGTTTACGTCGTAGAAGTAGGAATTAGCCGCATATCCGTTTAGTCTTGCAGCCCTATCTCCAGAACGTTGAAGGAAAGTATGCAAAACGCAGTAATATTGTGGTGGTAGAGAAGGTAACGATTACGCGAAAGACTGGAAGGAGGAAGGACCAAAACAGGCACAGGCATCATGGACGAGATCAGACGGCACAGCGCAAGCCCCCACAGAACGAGGAGAGAGTGAATCACGAGAGATGAAGGGTTGCGGGCCTGAACTAAGGAGAACAGAGAAGACATTGGTTGACAGGCCAATAACTCAGATAGAAATGTCTAGATGCAGCGTGAAATCACCCAGTCTTCTGCTTCGGTCAGCACCAGTTCACAAAAGCCACCTGCCACATCCATAGGTAGACATTTGTTGGCCACTTGTCATCCATTCGACCTTGTCACAATGTTCACAATCTTAGAGAACTGAGGTACACCACAGCCAGCTTCCATATCAGATAGTCGTCCACATGACCGGAAAAGCACTAGGCTGCAGTTTCAGCCTGTTTGGCATCATAAGTAGTGCGCATCCATCGGATCCATCAGGATACGAAACCATGACCACCAGCGGCTTGTACCGCCAGTCAGCAGCTTATGCAACTGCGCCACGGGGGACAGCTTCGGACCATCATGGTTTACAAGCTGTGATGTAACGCGTCTTATCCTCCAATGCCATGCAAGTTACGAACGTTGCAGAGGCTAGGGTTGGACCCAAAAGACAAGACATCCACCCTTGTTGATGCATGCTAACACCCTCTCCTGTGTTTTGCCGAGACTTTCATGATCGGCCAACCAAACCGGCACTCTGTGTGTAAAAACAACTGTGCATAAGCCGAAGGCTACTATGGACGTACAGGTGGCACATCTGTCATCCACCTTGTCTCTATCTTATCCGGTCACACCCTGGCTGTAGCTATATAGATTTTTCCTGTTATTGTATTGCCACTGACGTGACAACACTAAAAGTTAACATCGGCCAGTTTTCGTCTTCTCACTGCGTTATGTAAGAAATGTCTTCGTCGGTGCATCCAGGAGTAAGCCCCAGCCGAATAACTCTTCCGAGATCAAGCAAATCAAGAGCCTTGGAACAACTCCAGGCTGGTCAGAATGCGATTTACGGAAGCGAACATCCGGGGTCAGAGAGACAGCCAAGCGACCTCACCGTGTTTGGGAGAAACGAAGCACGAATCTGACATACAGTAATTCCCCATGAATGTTGCGTTATGTGACGCAGACATGACCGATATATGCGGGTGCACGTGACAGCTTGGTTAACCGTAGTCGAGTACAAAAAAAGGTGACCACTTACAGCTTCGTTCTTGCTACAATATGTCAAGCTATTCGGGTACGGATAGTAAGCCGGTGTTTTGGAAACTTGAAGGAGAAGCGCTCAGACAGAAACAGGAGCGCAGAATTAAACCCGGAACGCGTTTTCATGACAGAAGCATGAACTGTTGCGCTACATAGATATAGGTTTGGTTCTTCTCCCATCCAAGGCCTTTAAATGAATTTGGTCACATTCGGACTGTTATTGGTGACCGTCAACTGAAGTGACTAAACAATAAAATCGCAAAATCTTCATTTTGGTCTGAACTGACTGTTGGCCGACTTTGGATCTGACCAAATTACATAAAGTGAGACCGTTAAAAGCACCGAGATGAAATGTGGTCGACCTGGACATACCGATGAGTTCACCGGTTCGAATCGCACCTAAACAGAGACTGAACGAGTCGAGATGTAGAAAGCTTGGAGCATGACGAAGCGAAAAGTCCCTGACATCAGATCCGATACTAGTGATGAAAAACCAGTGTTTCAACGGAACCCTGGCATCATCCTCAGAATGGAGGAGAGTAATTAGAACACAGCTCAGGAATCCTAAACAGAGCATTCAAAGCACAATACTACACCTTTACACAGAGTAACTTACCGGATATTCAACAGACGTAGTGTGTCTCTCAGTAGTCCGCTTTTCACTCTTCTATCCAACTCCTGATCACCGTTGAAGCTGGGCGATCGATTTACTTCGAGGAGCCATGGCTTTAAGTCATCGTCCAACAGAATATCGAAACCGAGTATTTCGAAGAAACTGGAGTGGAAAAACGGAGCTGAAAGTGTACTTTGGAAAGACCGCGGTTTTGGAGTCGTTTTCGGTTGTGACATCCGATCTACACATTCATTTGGGTTAGAGAGCCGATAACGTGGTAGAGTTCCGTAGCTGCCGTAGCTGCGTTCTAAGCTTGGTGAGCGAGTGATCTGACCACGCCGACCACGTCGACACATGCGATAGGAGTGGAGTAGATGTGGCGTTGCAAGGGCAATCGTTTTCACAATTAAGTCCCGTATACTGCGCCAAACCACTTGCGGATCAATATGTCGTGTAGTGCGTAGATATTGGTCCAAGAAGCTAAAAGATCGCTTACTACCAACCATTTCGTCAGACCCGGCCACGTAATCTGCATGGTGTTTATTCACTGCATAGTTTGTCAAATGCATGTAGATGGATTCCTGTAAGGAGGAAAATGCAGAAGTAAGTGAATGCATCGAACAGCAACCTTCCACATAGAATTTTCACATGAAAGAATCTTTCAATTGTTGAAGTTGAGTCATTCAGTGAGCAGAATGAGGTGGCTATTAAAACTCCTCTTTTAGGTCCCAAGGAGAAAGCCCAGGGATGGCCGTATGACTTCACTTGATCTTCTTACTATACTTACCTCTTACTCTTGTTCGTGGTTACTTCAATTATACCTTCCTATAGTCTTATCGATATCACCCGTTAAATTATTCTTCAGATTAGGTTCGTGGTTTTATTGCAGTACCTTGCGTTGTTATTTCTATGCCAAAAATCGGTTAGCTATCTGTATGCTTTCCTATCAACCTGTGTTCGATATTTTGTACATGACCGGAATTTGTTGATCGTGCCATGATGGGTGTGCCTAGCATTGCACAGATCGAACGTTTACTTATCCACTCCCTCCCACCTCAACATCAATTCTTCCGTTGCACGGCTGCGCAAGCCATAAACTTGCACTTACAAGTGAACACTGAAAGGAAAGTAACTGAGACCATCTAGCCTCACAACAACTCCGTGATACACAATATATATATATATATATATATATATAGGAATGTGCAAGTTTGCCTTGACTAGCTCCAATTTGCTTAATACCTTACACTGTTGGGTTAACACAGCTGAAGGTTTGAATATTCATATGCAGCTATAGTGATATAGTAATCGTAGGTTTCTCTTTCCTTCCGCAAATGAGTAGAAGCTGCATCACCTACAGATAATTTGACCTATATTACTCTAGACCAGGGGTGGCCAAACTGTTTTCAAGGAAGGCTACAATATGTGGGGTAAAAATATGTCCGGTCATATTCAGTCTGACATTAAGATAATACAAAAAAGTACACATTTACGAAAAAATCCAAGCCCGAATTTATCATTTCATGATGAGGCCGAGCGTCAGTTAAAATGTTAACGCGGGCCGCATTTGGCCCGTGGGCCGGACTTCGGACACCCCAGCGCTAGACTATTTTGCACGACTACGTGCTACTCGTCTGATATGTTTGGTCGATGGCTCCAATTGCTTCGTTTCTTTCCACGTTTCTCCCATCTCCATGAACCCGCCACTTCCATGGTATCCCGGAGTAGCACAACGAAAGAACAGAATGCTTGTGTTCTGATAGAAAACAACAGTGAAAACCACAAATGATCTTTTCCAAAGTATCTATTGCATCTCTGTATAAGACCCAATTATTGACAACCTTGCATGTGTGAGCAAGTTGCACATGTAAATACGATTCGTCTCCTCTTTGTGCGAATGGTTTATCGGTAGTATTTCAGCCTCATTCAATTTAAGGGATTGTAGCAACGACATACACAAAACAACGATACCATCTGTGAGGCCAAAGAATTATCCAAAATCGCCGCTTCAGCTAGATCGCACATGCACGTAGTGTAAAACATGGATTGGAGATCACAACGCTTATTCGTACCGTCACGGTTGGTATGCTTTCGAAAACAATGTAAAATCGTTTCGCTTTCGCTGACTGGTCTATTAGTAATTAGTGATGGTGCCTCGCTACGATGGATGAAGAGGAGGAGGCAATCGTGAGAGTAAGTGTGGTAAACGACGAAAATACTGCGAGACAACTGCTGCGATAGGACCAGCAGTCGTACACCTTTGGAAATGCGCAGTCATAACCGTATGGTTTCTGATGAATTGAATTTTCTACACTGCTAGGTGTCCAACATATCCCACCTATTGGATTCGGATGCTATCTGGACAGAACTAGTGAAAAAGTGGGGGGGGGGGCTTGGGTGAAGGGAAATTAGAAACCCCAGTGAGTTTCTTCGTTCGTGTCCAACAGACGAGTGTTGGGGGCCCAGCTCAGCAACACCGTGCAAACTCAAGGGAACGAAACAATGTAGCCAGCACGTTCTAAGATCCTACAACAAACAACCATGCGAAACCTACGAGGAGTTTACCACATTACAAAGTGCTGTGCTAACGAAAGACTCAGGTCTCTGTGATTGTATCTATAATGTTACCGTAGATAAGAAAAAGACTCACCAACGCACATAAAGCCAATAAGTAGGGGAAAGGAGTCACGGTCATCAATGTGCGTTTGCACTAGACACGCCATGACAAAGGACATTGAAATAAACTTAGAAATACTAAAAACTAAGGCTCAAAATTCAATACATATTCGTGAATGAACGTCGTCTTATGTCTAGAAATCAAGAGCAGCATTGGTGGTGACTGTGGACACTACATATGCGATCTGCGAACCTCGTACTTCGCCAATATACACAAAAATGGTTGACAAAACTGCGTTATACACTGGTTCAACACTAAACGCACAGCTTACCCCATTTGGCTTCGTTGGCTCAACGTACTTTTCCGTACTCAGCCGGACCAATCCGTCGTTGTAGATGAACACTCGCAATGGGTCACATGATGTTAGCAGTACATATACCCGCAAATCACACTTGTAACCATCGATCAACAACGGGTTATTGATGTACTCCTGTACCACGCAAGGAACCCCACCCATGGGATTTGAGGGCACGCTTTCACCGGCGCGGAACATTTTGATCCTGTAGGAAGGCAAGGAAAATGATCGGTTTACCGAAAATGGTGTGACTCATGCACTGCACAAAATGCACCGTTTTAGATAAAATCCAACAGAACCGAAACGTACTTCCACGGTGAAAAGGACACGCTCGGTACACTAACGCACGGGCTGCAAAGGCGCTAATGTAGTCGAGGAAGCGAGTAACCAACACTAGAGGGTACATAAACCAGCAGAAAGCTTTACGCTATGAAAAGATAATCCTGCTCACAAAAGGGATAGGCGATAGGTGCTAAAGAGAAGTTTGACTAATTCAGTCGCAAGCTGTAGAAAGCAGTCTTCGGATGTAACACTAAGCGAATGGTTTGAGCGCGAAAAGTTGATAACAGTGAGAATTCAAGAAGGCGTAGTTGAACGTAAAACTGTGACGCGTGCAGTTGTACCAACTCTGACCTATGGTTTAATCTGCATTTGCAAGTTTGAATTTTGACATACACTCGCCTGCTGATATTCATTCGATCGGGCTCGACGCTCTACTTCCAATGAAACCTTCCTATGTGGATTAACGTCTGTCGGTAGTTAGTCCGGTGTATTCCAAGCCAAAACTCGAGTGCGCAGCCCTATCGTTTCTGGATCCCATAAGACTATTTTTAGTCTTATGAGGAAGGCGATTTCAAAGCCTACCCAACGATGCTAGATTTAATCCAACCGTTTGCTGCATAAGCCAGGTATTGCTGAAAGTGCTTCGTCTGTCGTCATTACTGCTGTCTGTGACCTGAGCGCAAATCAGAGTCGAACCGGTTACGATCCGCTTGGAGTGTGCTACCACCCAGGCTTAATCGATAACACTTGCGATACACAATCGCAAACGACATTGAGGAGATACTGGTGATGGTGTATTTTGTTTATCTTTTCCCTTAGAAATAAATGAATTGTTTATTCTCGACAATGCGGGGCACTTCTGCACAGGCCTGATCATGGTAAGAGGACAACCAGTGATCGGAAAATACACAAAAATACACGTTTGCCATAACGGTGCAGGTACGTAAGTTGGGCAACACCGACTTACACCTTAACTAGACGGCCTCAGTCTGGGTAAAATGGATTGCACCACATCCAGTGCTGTTATTCTGCTGCATATTTCGTATCGACTTTGCGACTTTATTTTTCATCAAATTATGTGTGGCCGCGCTCGATTTGAATGTTGGCAAGGTGCCTACTTGGCTAACACCCTCCACCTGGATTACCGGCCCCATGAGACTGCTAGTCTTTGTTACGAGTAAGAGTGCACGGTCCTCGTTACCGTGCAGGGCTCAAAGAGTGATTTTATCCTGTGCAGAAGGGACTACGGTCCGGCCACCTTCTTGTATGCGTCTGGTATGCATGACTCCCAAATTAGACAGAGATGCTGCCCAGGTTGAAACGGTGTGGGTCGGCTCCGTTGATGAAACGTGGCTCCAATTCAACTGTCTCCCAGTCTTATTCCTTCGCGTTCACACTGAAAATGAGGTGTGTGGATGGAGGTGTGAGTGGTGCAGCACAAGCCCCCCCCCCCCATGGTCCCTCTGTAGGCGCAGGCACCCTGTGGCGATCCTATGGAGGCCGCAGTGACAGGCAAATCAGGAAACGGATGCTGGAAGACATATGTGTGACTGGGTTGCCTGGGTTTGTAGATGTGCCGCTGCATTTTTGGCCGCTTAAATCGCGTCAGCAATGTGAGAAGAAATGATTGACGCCCATGGATTGGATGATTATCCGGACAAGGAGCAGTGACTTTATTTAATTGCCAGCCAAACCCACCATGTCGCAGCGTTGTTGTTGTGGTTTTTAGAAGGAGAACAGCTGCCAGGCGAAAATGCAGCACGTCCTGGACTACGGCCACCGAACTATATGCTGGAACGGGGTACGCCCGAATCACCTATCTGGCAACACGAGGAGGATGTTCGGCTAGCCAAACAGATTTAGTCTCTAGGTCACCAGATGCTTTATATTTTGTTCCATCCCACTCAGTTCATGATGCTAGATTAGCGGTTAGAGTCTAGTTAAATAAACAATTGCAGTTGACCGTAGTGTCTGTTGTTACTATTTCGTTTTACCGTCGTCCATCTAAAGCTTTTGCTCCTCAATCGCTTGTAAATCTTGTGTAAAAGTCAGCATCTCATGAAAAGCTTAAGCACGCGCTCCACGATAACCTTGTACACAAAATCGCATCTGTTGGAATCAGCGATCCATTGTTATCGTGGTTCAAGCCATACCTTTCAAACCGAACCCAGGTGGTTAGAATAAACGATTAAAAGTCATGGCTTAGACCAGTGATGAGTGGCGTAGTTCAGGGCAGCGTTGTCGGTCCACTACTCTTTTTATTGTACATTAACGTGGTTCGACGTAATACGTTATGGTATCTCATATGTGGTTGCAGACGACGTGAAAATCGTTTACACCTTTGAGGTTACTGACACGGACCATAACACGAACGCCATTTTATCTGATTTGAAAGCCCTTGAGTTATGGTGCGCCAAATGGGATATGTCATTCTCAGCCGACAAGTGAAGGGCCCCACTGTTCCGTCGTACAATCGCAGCTGGCACTCTGGTTCTGGTTGGAAAACTAATAACGTGCAACCGTGCAGTAAAAGGCTTCGGTTTTCAATATTCTGGCTCACTAAACTTTAGGGAGCACAAGGCAAATGTAGTTGCTAAAGGTCGTTGAAGCATTAGAATACTATTCAAAACATTCACAATGCACGATTCCATATCCACCCTGGACAAGATAGAAACCAGACCGCTTTTAGACTATTGTGCAAGAAAAGGTGATCGCCAGCAACTGGAAAAGTTGCAGAGAGCGTTCACTAGTCTGCTGAGATCGTCCGCTCGAAGCCCTTAACTACAGCGCTGCAAAGCCTCAAAACTAGACCCCGTTATAGCTCAGACGGATGAAACTTAATATATATCTCTTATTCGATATAATGTACAAGCGAGTTCACACCCCAAGCCTAAATTTTAGATTCAAAGGTGAGATAGCCACAACTTGCTAAAAATAGAAAAGCCTAGAACTCAGGCATGTAAGAACTTTTACGTAAACGTTTACGCAAAAATATGGAACAGGCTGCGGCCCAAGTTGCGAGCATGAAAATCATCTGAAAACTTTCGTAAGGAGATCCACACCTTGTTGACTGTTGAAAAGGCCACCGAGCTGCTGACAAAATGTCATGGGGAAATGGCACACGAAAGCGGTCTATCCGATACCTAAGATATGGTATCAATCGCAGCCATCTTATCCTCCCGTACTCAACATTTTGACACCCCTAAATTGTTGGCCTCAAGAAACCATTCTGGCCTGCGGCGCACTAATACAGGAAAATGCCACACTGAGCCCTGCAAAACAAAGCTTATAAATCTAGATATAGCTAATAAAGGTTGATGAACTTTTTTGGTCTGCGACCATCTAAATATTTATTTATTTACGAACGAAGTTTTTCGTATATCTAACTAATTCTCTTTCCTGTCCGGAGGTATCAGCACAAAACTATAGAGTACTTTATGACATCCGTCAATATTAATTCCTTCGCACCTCGGCTAGCCGTGATGCATCGATCCGGAACCGCTTTTCTTGTTACCACTTAAACAGAAACTGTTTCAACGATTCATTGATAAGATTCGACCAGATAAACCACAATCCGCACCTCGCACCGCCGAGATATAAACAGTTTTTCCGTTTACCTTTCCCGTCTTCACACCCGTATAATAACATTAAACATTTCGGTTACTTTCCCGTGACCAACAGTCTAGAAGCAAAGAAAAATTCGCAGTGCTCCACGCTACCAAATACTGTATTTTGCGCGTGCAGGCAACTGTCGAATGAAACCTGAGGATTCATTTTAGAACTGCCTCGCATATCGATAATCCCAGCAGCCACCTATTCATCATCATCATCATCAACAGCAGTACGTCAGCTATTTGAACTGATGCTTCGCTGCCATACAACCATGAGGACCTATGAAATAAAGAATAAGAAGAGGGAGAGAAGGGGGAATTACCTGAAAACATTAATGCCCTAAGCAAACATTCAGGGTCAAGGCGCCTACACTTTGTGTAGACAACATACCACCACAAACAGCTGGCTATCGTGCAAAGATAAGGCGACATCGGCGAAACAGCTTCCTTTCGGCTTTCACTGCCCCGCGTCATAATCAGCCATTACCCCGCAGATAACTCAGCACCAAACACACTTTAAACAGGCAATCCGATTAGGAGACGGCAGCCGACGCGCCACTGGTGTCGGTTGCGAGCCATGTCCTGCAAAGTCTCGAGCCAAGCACAAGGCGAGTCACGTGGACTCCAGCCCGGAAGGTGAGATGGACCAACGGCACCCAGTTTGGTTGCCAGTGACTTCATTTCCCGCTGCCAAGTCAACTTCTGTCCACCCCGAGCCTTGCGCCATCCTACACTAGGTAGACTGAACAACGCCCTCCTAGGTAAGCGGTGACCAGGCATGCGTAGCACGTGCCCGAGCCAACGCAACTTATTCAGTGCCATCTGTTGTTCTAGGGTGCTAGCATGATCATCACCCCCTAGTACTCGCCTACGCACATCATCGTTGCGGACACGCTGGTGCCATCCGACACCAGCAATGCTTCGCAAACAACGATGATCAAAGACTTGAAGGCGCCTCAGATCTTCAGACCGAAGAGGCCAAGTCTCACTACCATACAGCAGAACGGCCCTCACTGTGGCCTTGTATACACGGCCTTTCAGACGGAGGGAAACTCCCTTCTGTCGCCAAAGATGACGCAGGTTCAAGAAGGCAGCTCTGGCCTTTGCAATGCGTGAGCTAACGTCAGTTTCTATGCGCCCATCATTGCTGATGCAGCTGCCAAGATAAGTGAAATGATCAACCACCTCGAGTTCCTCGTTAGCAAGCGTCAAGGGGTTATTAAGTGGCTAGTGGTCCTGCAGCAACACTTTGCACTTTGAAGGTGCGAAGTGCATACCAAATAATGGGACCATTCTGGATAGGCTATTCAGG